AGTAACAATTCTCATCTCCTACCAGATCTGTCCTCTACCTCAGCCAAGCCTTCCAGAATCCTTATTTGCTTCACACATCTACTATATCGCAAATATCAGCTAAAATCCCACTCCTCTGGGTCATCATGTCTACATTTAGGTTTTCACACAGTTAAGATTTGAATAAAAACACACACAGTGCTTTATGTTAAGAGATTTTGCCTGTTTTTATCAAATCTTAACTACCGTCCTCTTCCTTAATTATTCCTCAGGGTTTAAGAGTTCTGCTGAGAACTCACACTCTTGAGCCTAGATTATCTTCTTAGCCACAAGGCAAGTTGAGTCAGCTTGAATAACAGACTTAGTCTATTAACCAGATGTGTATGGCGTACAAATGGTTAAGGGCTCATGCTCTACCGACTGAGCTAGCGGGTGCCTCAGACTTTGGCTAATGGTACTTAATTCTACCCGAGAGAAACATTCAGCAATACATAGATGTTATGTCAGCACTTCTCCCCCAATCCTCAAAGGTCAGTTTTATGTGCTTTCGGTAAAAAGTCCATCTTGGTTGTCAAGAATCAATCTTTATTTACATTCTCAAAATGGAATAACTTGTAACTCCAACTCCACAAGGACCATTAGCTGATGTCCTACAATTTAACTCAACTCTGACACTACCTACTAGGAAACAGCACCAGATCCCACAGGTTAAGGGGCTCAGTCCCCCCAAGACTGGCCCCTCTCCACGCCCACTTCAGATGCTAACTTTAGGACCAGGCTGCCACCTCTGCTTTTGACCTCCTGGCTCCAAAGTGGAGGTTCCCATAACCTAATCCTCAGTTTCAGTGAATTTGCTAGAGAGGCTCACAGAAGTCAGGGAGACAGTTTCCTCACTAGATAACTGGTTTATTATAAAGGATGTAACCCAGGAACAGTCAGATGAAGAGATGTATAAAGTAAGATATGTGGGAAGGGGAACATTTATGCCCTTGAGTGTGTCACCCTTCTAGCACTTCCATGTGTTTATCAACTCAGTTCTCTGAATCCCATCTTTTTGGATTTTCTTTCTTTAAAAAAAAAAAAAATTTTATTGAATTTTTACAGAGAGGAAGAGAGAGTTAGAAACATTGATGAGAGAGAATCATCGATCAGCTGCCTCTTGCACACCCCCTACTGGGGATGTGCCCGCAACTACGGTACATGCCCTCAACCGGAATCGAACCTGGGACCTTTCAGTCCACAGGCCGATGCTCTATCCACTGAGCCAAACCAGTTTCGGCTTTTTTGGATTTTCAATGGAGGCTTCATTGTGTAACAATGACAGACCAAATCTTGGGTCATCAGCCATTAACTCCTTCAGCTCCTCTCCCCTTTCAAGAGGCAGGGGTCAGGTGGCACTGAAAGCTCCAAACTAACAACCAGACCTCATCCTCAGAGGCTTTCCAAAAGTCACCTGTTAACACTGACTTAGGTGTGGTTGAAAGGGGCTTGTTAATAAAATACACCTTTATCCCTTATCACTTAGGAAATCCCAAGGCTTTTAGGTACTTGGTGCCAAGGACTGGACAATAACCAAATATATATTTATTACAAATCATATTGTCACCCCTGCTTAATTCATTTAACACTACATTACAGGCATTTTCCCATGTCATTTCTAAGATTGAGCTCCTTAATGACTTCATTGCACACTACTGCATAAATATGCCAAAAATATTTAGAGTGATACCCTTTAACATTTCTAGTTTTCCAAAATTATGCTGCAACACATCTTTATATATACATTTATATATGTATATAAATGTATATATACAAATGTATATATACATTTCTAGTTTTCCAAAATTATGCTGCAATACATCTTTATATATACATATGTTCATATCTCTAATAACTTCCTTAAAATAAATGACAAAAAGAGAATCAGAAGTTTAAAGCTGTGCTGTCCAATAGGTATTCACTAGCCACCTGTGACTATTTTAATTAACTAAAATAAAAAATTGGAAAATTCAGTTTCTCAGCTGTACCAGCCACATTTGAAGTGCTCATCCAGATGACTGTTGTTTTCTAATTTAATTTACTGGATGACAATTGTCAGATGACTGTTAAAATGCAGTAGCCAATGGCCAGTGACTACCGTACTGGAAAGTGTAAAAATAGAATATTCTCGTCATTGCAGAAGGTTCTATTGATAGCCTGGTCTAAAGAAAAGTTCATATAAAACATGATACCTATATCCCATAAAAATGATGTAGCAATGTTAACTCCCAACATGAGTTCCTATATCTTCTTCTTGTCAATATCAGATCAATGTTCTCATCTAATACATGAGATATAATGTTTAATTTACATATATATTATTAAAGTCTTTTCACATTTTTGGGCCATTTGTGCTTATTTTTGTTGTTGGGTTATTTGAAATTTGTTCATTTTAAGAGTCAAGTTTAAAGATATCCTGTTCCCAAAGACCTATAAAACCTAACCTATGTGTAGCAAAGAGACATTTCTTCAACTGTTTTGCTGATTTCCTAATTATTTCACAGATATTTATCAAAACAGTGTAAAAATAGCTAACAGAGTAGTACTACAGTTAGCTAAAGGCTGTCTGCACTCTCACAGGTTTTCTTACAATGAAGTTAATGGTTTATATTTCTATAAAATAATGGCTATCACTACTATATTACTTCTAGGAGATATTGTTATAAACTTTCAAATTAAGCTATGAAAACATATGAGATGATATAAAGTATATGAAATATTTGTTTTTAAAGTGATTATATTTATACAAAACTCTGGAACAGGAAAAACCAACCCATGGGATATGAGTCAGAACAGTGGTTCCGTTGGTGGGTGAGGGTTGGGAGAAGGAATGAATGGTCAAGCACATAAAGAGAGTTTCTGGCATGATGGAAGTGTGTGTTTTTTTTTTGTGTGTTTTTTTTAATGTTTTTATTGATTTTGATAGAGAAAGGGAGAGGGAAAGAAAGACAGAAACATTGATCAACTGCCTCCCGCACACCCCTGGCCGTGGATTGAGCCTATAACTCAGGCATTGCCAGACCAGGAATGGAACCAGGGACTTCCTGGTGTACAGATCAACATTCAACCACTGAGCCACACCAGCCAGACAGAAATGTTCTTTCTTGATAGGGGTGTGAGTTACATACAGCTGTCAAAACTCAATGGACTGTACACGACAGAACTAAGTTTCACTATATGTAAATTACATTAAATTTTTAAAAGTTTAAAAAGTATGTGCTGTTTAAAAAATATAATTGATAGGCAATAAAAATTTTAAATATTTCTAGAACTTAAAATGTGATTTCCTGGCCGAGGGACACAAAAAATTTTGCAAATTGGAAACGGGGTGCAGACTATGTATAACACTTGGGCCAAACCACTCAACTGTCAAACCAACAACACTAGAAAATTCACTGTAATATCAGGGCAAAATATATTAAGGCATCAGAAAATTGCTACCATTTAAACATACATATTTTTCTAAAGTCTACACCAGTGATATGGAAACTGACTCACGCATTCACTTTCTGGAAAATCATCTCTCTAATGTTATCAAATAGCACTTGGTTTAATTTTCTGAGCCATTTCTGCTGAGGTAGTTTATGAACTTGGCTCATTTTTGCTCTTTATCCTTCTCTACTGGTGGCATACACAGCACAAAAGCTAACACATGAATGTTAAAACCAATAGATTTAATATCTCGGCCCATTACCAATCTATCATAACCTGTTCGACAAGTGAGCTCCTCAGAGTCTCAACTACAGGTCTTTTGTTGTTGTATAAACTTTCATCCTCACCGAGCACAATTTTTTCACTGATTTTTAGAGAGTGGGAGGGAGGGTGAGAGGAAGGAAGGAGGGAGGAGAAAGAAGGAAAGGAGGGAGGGAAGAGAGAAACGCTGATGTAAGATAGACACATGGATTGGTTCTTTCCCATATGCCTAGTTGCCTACCGCACACCAAAGCCAGGGAATGAACCTACAACCCAGGTGCATGCCCCTGAGAGGGAATCGACGCTCTATCACTGAGCCACACTGGTCAAGGCTAAACTGCAAGTCTTATTCAAGTCCTGTGCAGACAAGCTCAGGTATTTTTTTTAAAACTTAAATTTTTTCCTGTTCAAAGTATTACATATATCTCCACTTTTCCCCAAGCTCAGATATTATGGCAACTCCTCAAAGGACCTTGCTCATGAGATCATGGAGGACACTAAGAGGAGGGGGCCCAGAGGTAAAGAAGCAGGAAGGTGTACATTTTATTAGTGTATTGGCTTTGTAGGAAAACAGCTCATTTTGTTATTAAATTCTACATTATATTTTCTTCAGCATCAAACCGATCTGGGTTTGAGAATCAATTCTGCCATTTATTAGATGCGTCATCTTGGGCCAGTTACTTTACCACTGAACTGTTCTCTTACAAAGGACGCTAACGGTATTTGTTTCTAAGGCGTGCTGCGAAGATTAAATGAAAACACAAGTAACATTTTTAGCTCAGCGGCTGGCATATTATAGGTGCTTAACAAATAATAGCTACTATCATACACAATTCTGTTTCTTGAGAACGCTATGTAAATGATACAGGCCCCAGTAACTCCCCTCTGTAAGCAAACCACCACCAGGATATTCAGGCAGTCATTTTTTGCTAACAAGGTACCAATATGAATGGGCAGCATTCCATAATTTTGAAGTCTAATTATGTCCATTATAAGAATTTCAGCAGCCAACTATAGATAAGGTCACACACACAAAAAAAGCAGAAAGGTTAGAAAATAATTTCACAAGATGAATATACAAAATCAAAGGTCACCAAAAAAAGGAAATTTTTTGCTAAGCAGACACTCTATGCTTCCCTGTCATGCTACATCACTACTAAAGCAATAAAGACACAAATGAGCAAGTTATTCTTAACCACACATGACGTGGTATATGATAGTCAGCCCCACTTAATCATTTTAAAAAGCACTTTACGTGGCAGACTCATGCACAATAAATAAATAAATACCTGTTTCTCTTCATCTGGCATGTTTTTTTCTAGTTCTATTAGGTATTCTTCGTCGAGTTCAGAGGAATTCACATCATCCTCAGGTTTGTCCTCAACCGTGTCCACTCCTGGCTCCTCCTCCTCAAAGGAGGCGCTGCAGTCATGGAAGTGCTCCTCTTCTCCCTGGTCCTCCTGGGGCTGGGCCTCCACAGCCTGTGGCGGCTTGCTCTGGGGCTGGGGATCACTGGGATTAGAAACTGAAGGACTAGCACATTCTGCTTCCTGGGTATCTGTAACTTGCAAACCACTGAGCAGGTCCTCCGGAGCCCTACCGTTTTCTGACTTCTCCCCCATGCTGAATCAGTGAGGGAGGTGAAGCTGGTTCTGGAAAAAACAGAACACACATTGGGCAATGGTGCGTATATTCAAACACAACCCTATCACACCCAAACAAACGTCTCCGTCAGAGCTCAAAACACACCCTCGCTTCCTTTTGTTAGAATTTATTATATAGTATCGTACCCCCCACGAATAATGCCAAATACCATTTTAACTGATATCCCTTCCAGAACTTCTTATAAGCAACAGCAGAGACCGATCTGAATGTGACTTCTACTTTCCAATGCTCGGAAGTTGTCCAATAGCAAAAGAAAGGCAGAAGCGAAAACAATGGCAAGATAAACGAAGTGACCCAAAGCTTATTCAGAATGAAAACCCAGGTCCTAAATAAGAACTACACCCTGACTTTCCAGCACTACCGCACAAAGGTCAAGAATAAATTTCTGGGGTCAACCATTTTGGGCTTCCCTCCCTTGCAGCAGGAAGTTCGTATCCCCGCCCCTACCACACCCCCCACCTCCCCACAAATTTTGTTTTCTTCCCTTCCCCAAAAGAGTAAGTCTCTTATGGAACTCAAAATGCAATCCATGTCCAGTGATCACCAACTTCACCCCAAATCCGAGAGAGACAGAGCCCCACGCAGGTTACAGCGGAAGGGGAGCCCTGGCACAGGTGGTCCAAAGGAGGATCCCCGTGGGGGTCAAAAATCATGCGCTACATAAAGAATGGCTCCCCACCCTGGCTGCACAACCAAACACCTGGCACGCTTTAGCTCAGATTTCACACACCACAGCTTCTGATTTACTGGTTTCGCTGGGTTAGCGTAGGGCATCTGTAATTTTTTTTAAAAAAATAGGCGTCCCGGGTGATGCTAATGTGCAACCAAATTGAGAACCACCGCGGGAGAAGCTGAGTCAGACCGACACGGCCCCAGCCTCTCGGCAGCAGAAAAATCACACCAACGACCCCCGGGGTCGCGGCAAGAACCCAGATTCGTTCCGGCTCGTCCCAAGCAAACTTAAAACAGCAATATCTAAAACGGGGAGACTGCGCCTCCACCGCAGCGTTTCGTCTCTCCCCGCTCCCGAGTCTACGGGAAGAACGCAGCAGTGTGAGGCCCCCGTTTTAAGAAGGGGCCGCCCCGCGCTTCCCAACGGTTCGCCGCCCCGGCCGCGTCCCCCTCCGACAACTAAACACAGCCAGCGGGCTACTCACCGCTTCACGCTTCCTCTCGTCACCTTCCCAGCCTCCGAGAACCCTCTACTTCCGCTTAGTCAAGTACACTTCCGTCGGCGCCGACCAATGGCGTCGCTTTTTGCAGAGCATCCTGGGAAATGTAGTGGAACGGCGCTGTGTGACGTCATTATACGGCCGGGGAGTACCAGTGGCGGTGGCCATCTTGCGTTACGGCAAGACTTCGCGTGAGCGCATAGAGGGGGGGAAAGAAAGGCGTTTCTCTTCTTCCTTTGCTCCGACTGCTCTCATGCCGGCAATGTATATAGCAGAAACCTTATCCAAAAGTGAAGTTTTCCCTTTCATGGTCTTCAAAGTGTGCTTTCAAGGTCTCTCTATATCAAAAACGGTTCTCATAATAATAATAATAATACTGCCATTTGCCTTTTCCATAGTCCTCTCGTGACTGTACAGTGTTTTCCAGAGGCTCCATGGACTGGATGCAGACCGAGCTACGAGAATCCAGCTGTCTTCTATTAAGCCAAGGATTTTCAAGCATGTAAAACAACGAGATTCTTTTCGCTACGTGTGTTTTGCTTTGGAAAATAGTTATTGATAAAAAGATTATTTACGTTAGCATATAATGGGTGTAGTGTTAACTTTTAAAAAAAATGTTAGCGTTTATTAACTCATTTAAGTTTTAATTTCTAATACAGCAAACACTGATAGGCATAACCCACATAAAAGCTTTCTGTGCTCCCCAATAATATTTAAGAGTGTGATGAGGTCCTGGAACCAAACGGGAACTGTGGACCTAGACATTCACTCAAAGAAATGTTTGTTAGACACCGGGCCTTGTGCTGGGAATTCAGAGTTGAGATAGCCCCTAAGGTAGCCAGACAGGTAACCAGCAATGACAGGCGAGAATTAAGTACGTTTCTATAATTCATGCAGAGGGCTGAAGGGGCTTTTTCAGGAAGAAAGCAAACTTGTTTTTTGAGTTTATATTTAAATGCAGTTATTCAGACAGTTCTATTTTTTGTGTAAGTCAAAAATGTTAATGTACTAAATGTAAACATTAAAAATGTATTAAAGATTTGAAACTAATAATTTTTTTTCAATGTAATAGGAGCTTCACAAATACGTGGTTAGACCTCTTATGACTTATAAGACATGCTGTTGATTAAATGTTGGTGAATTTAGGAGCACAATAAATAATATCCAAAAGTTCATCCATGTTTCCAGAGAGGCGGAAGAGGCTGGTCCAAGAACAAGGTGGAACCTATCTGACTTTTGGATTCCCTAGCACATCGTACCCACAGCTGTTCCCAGGGGCTGGGCAGTGAGACACACACACTGTGTCCCCCTCTCTTGAACAGGATGGGTGACTTGCCTAGAAACTTCAACAGAAACAGATACCAGGAAACAGAAACAGAAAGCAAGTGTGCACAATACGGCTGGAGAGCTCAGAAGGCAGAGAGAGGGGAGTTTGGATTCAAGAAACACCCAAAACACCACGAGAAAGTAGTGAGCGCAAAGAGCTGTGGGTACCAGCACCTGGCTCACCGGTCTCTGGGCTGCTGGGGTTCGTCTTCTTTGGGACCTTTTGCAGGTGCCATGGAATGCCAAAGGTTCAGAAACAGCCGCAGTAAAACCCTGAGTCACAGAAGTAGTAATTGGTAAAAACTCACCGTGCACCCACCGGAGCACTCACACCAAAACACAGGCTGAGGCGCAGGGAGGGCCCCTGGTTACAAAGCAGCTTATATAGTGAAGGAGGAAGCAGCGGCTGTTTGTTCTCCGCAGCGATTGGCAATGAGCTACACTAATGACTAAACTGGTTTTATCTGCTCAGGGAACCCGCAAGGCTGGTCTCCATTTGCTTTTCACGTTAACAATAAGTAGCAGAATGCTGCTAAAGTATAGACCCGTGGTCGGCAAACTGCGGCTTGCAAGTCACATGCGGCTCTTTGGCTCCTTGAGTGTGGCTCTTCCACAAAATACCACGGCCTGGGCGAGTCTATTTTGAAGAAGTGGCATTAGAAGAAGTTTGAGTTAAAAAAACTTGGCTCTCAAAAGAAATTTCCATCGTTGTACTGTTGATACTTGGCTCTGTTGACTAATGAGTTTGCCGACCACTATACTATAGACCATAAAGCAAGACACAGACTTTTACAGATGGAAGCCCAGAGATTTCGTCTCTTAGCACTCACGGCCGCTCTAGAAGGAAGAAAGGTCTCTCATGGAGAGGGTGGCTCTGTGGTTATTGCCCAGGGTAGAGGCCACGTGTGTCTTGTTTACAGTTGCAAGTGAACTACCTCTTAGCACATGGATGGGTGATCTTTAGGGAATTATGGCCCAAACCCTGGCCATTCAGTGCTCTGGTGAGTTGCATAGATTTTGAGACTTCTGGAATGACCTTATAGGATTCTTGTAAATGGTGTCATGGCTTATCTAAAACATAGACAAGAACGTGCTTAAAAAAGAAAAAATGCCTCCCTATTAACACCACTGAGTAAGTGCTCAATAAACGTTTGCTGTCATTGTAATCTTTATTACTCACAAAGGCCTCCATTACAGTATTGCCACGGGGATTCAGACCAATTACTAATAGGTAGGAATTTAATTATTATTAGTGCTACTAATAATAATTAACAATATTATTAATAGTGATATATTTGTGCAACTTTCATTCACATCCCCATAGACAGGAGACTGAGCACCTAAGTGTGTGGAAAGGAGGGGGAAGCTGAACATGAATGAATAAGTAAGGAATGAATGGTAGGCATCATATTAGACCCTGCGGTGGGTACAGCAGTGAGTCCAGAGAGTAGTGAAGGAGCCATTTTCTCTTTGCTTTTCTTTCTGGGGGAGCAGCGGGTAATTTCTTTAAAAAAAAAAAAAAATATATATATATATACACACACACACACACACATACAGAGAGAGAGAGGGGGGGGGAGGAAGGGAGGGGGATAGAGAGTTAGAAACATTGATGAGAGAGAAACACCAATCAGCCACCTCCTGCACACCCCCTACCGGGATGTGCCCGCACCCAAGGTACATGCCCTTGACTGGAATGGAACCTGGTACCCTTAATTCCTCAGGCCAACACTCTATCCACTGAGCCAAACCGGTCAGGGCCAACAGGTGATTTCTTAGTGTTACAATCAGTAAGGAGCTGCCCACCCGGTCTGTGGCCAGCTCTCCCGGGAGCAGGGCAGGGACTAGGGAGAGGTGAGCAGGTGACAGCCCGGTGGGAAGTGGTGGAGGATACAAGAGAAGGGCCTTCTATGCAAGGTGGTCCTCTGGGTCACGGCAGGACAGCGGGCTTGCTGCCCAGGATGGGGGTGAGGGTGAGATGAATATAAAATACATAATTTAGATGTAGAGCTTGTATAGTGTTTCTCAGAGATGCTATTGCTCTTTATTCTTTCCCAGTTCCAATCCTCAAACTGAGATTTCTCACAGGAGACACAATCAAGAGGTTAACATTCTGAGTATTTAAATATCTATGTTTCTGTTTTCTCTTATATCAGCATGTTCACTAGCAGTAAGATATGAGCCATAGATCTAATTTCAAGTCTTTAGTAGCACCATTAAAAACAGTAAGAGAAGGAAAATTAATTTACATGATATTTTAATTAACCCAATATGTGCAAAAATATTATCACTTAAACATGTAATCAATACGACAGTTAATAGAATATTTTACATTCTCTTTTTCATACTAAGTTGTTGGGATCATGTGTGTATTTTACTGTTATAGCACATCTCAATCTGGACATTAAGTTTCCATTGAAAATACTTAAATCTACATTCAGATTTCATAACATTTATAA